CGGGCCGGGACCCGCAGGGCTGTGAGAAAGGCCCCGCCGCTGGCTTCTCGGGGCCGGCGGAGGCTCCGGTCCCCACGGCGAGGGAGCCTGGGTGCAGCGCCCCTAACGGTTTTGGCTTCTCGAGGTTTTGTGCGCTGCCTAGGTGGGAGCAGCCTCTGCGACCTCCCTGCTGTGTAGTAGAAAGTTCTCCGGGGACGGGGTTACGTTTATAATCCTACTCTTTGCTTCTGCGGTTTTTTGTTTTTGACACCAGGGAATCCAACTCTGGACCTTGCGCTTGCCAGGCGGGTGCGGCGCCTCTGAGCTACATCCCTGGCCCGCTCCTAAAATATTCTGAAGATTGGTGAAGCAGGCTGCTTCCTCACGCTGCTTTTCTCTCCTGTCCTTGGTAGAATCTTGTGGCCGTAAAGTTTACTGCGCATTCAAGCGTTGCGTTTCATGATGTGAGCGTAAGATTGTGATTTTCTTGTTTGGAATTTGAGTGCATGTAATGGTAAGAGCTGAAAACTCCAAGAGAATTGTTTGCTTATACTGTTTATTTTAAAAATTAATTTTGTTGGTTCATTTTAGGTATACAACATAATGACATTCATCCTTGGGAATTTGCACCTTTACGTAATCTATCTTGGTTCTTGTTTTTCCCCATTCCCCTGCCTTCCCTTTAACCCCTCCACCCTCCCTGTCTACGAAGACTTTGCTTCCGTTTTCTGCTACAAATTCCATTCCATTCTTTCCTTTCCCCTACCCTTCCCCTTGGCCCCCTTTCTTCCTATTTCACATCATCTGGTACATCTTTTAGAACTTATTTACACTTCCAGTTTAAACTGTGCAGTGTTTACACGGGTGTCCTATTTATTTCCCTTGAGCATCACCCCAGTGTGCATCCATTTGGCTATAAATGTCTAATTTCTTGTTCTTTGTGGTTGAATAGTACCACATTTTATTTAAAAAGGAAAAAGCATTTTCCTTATCCAGCCTCCAGTTGATGGGCAATTGGGCTGTTTCCAAGTTTGAGCTATTACAAACTGAGCCGCTATGAACGTGGGTGCACGTATATGACTGTGGTATGATTCCCTTAATTCTTTTGGGGAGATACCCAGCAGGGGAGTAGCTGGGTCAGACGGGGCTTCCGATCCTAATTCTTTGAGGCATCTCCACACTGATGTCCACAGTGGTTGCCCCAGGCTGCACCCCCAGCAGCAGTGGAGCAGGGTTCCTCTTTCCCCACGGCCCTGCCAGCATTTGTTATTGGTTGATTTCATGACAGCAGCCATTCTTTCTCGGGTGAGGTGGAATCTCAGTGTTGTTTTCGTTTGCATCTCTTGAGAGACCAGTGATGTTGAACATTTTTTCATGTTTATTTGCTACTTCTACTTTGTCTGTGAAATGTCTGTCCATTTCAGATGCCCATTTTTGGATCGGATCTGTAAATTTGGGAGGTCTGATTTTTGTAAGTTCTTTATATAGTCTAGATAGTAGACCTTTGTCGGAGGAACTGCTGGTGAAAAATTTTTTCCACATTGTGGGTTGTCTCTTCACACTGTTGATGATTTCTTTTGCTGTGCAAAAGGTTTTTTTTTTAGTAAGAAGATCCCACTTGTCGATTGTGCTAGTTCATGAGCAACTGAGGTTTTGCTCATAAAATCTATTCCTATGTCAGTGTCTTCAAGAGTTCTACCTAACCTCTCTTCCAGCCAGTTTAGTTTTTCTCTTTTATTATTGAGATCTTTATTCCATTTCAATTTTAGTTTAGTGCATGGCGAGAGATATAGGTCTAGTTTTAATCTTCGGCAGGTTGAAACCCATTTTTTCCAGCACCATTTATTAAAGAGACCATCTTTGCTCCATTGAGGGTGTTTGGCTCCTTTGTCGAAGATGAGATGGCTGAGTGTGTCTGAAGCTGTTTCTGCATTTTCTAATCTGTTCTGCTGGTCCTCAGGTCTGTTTCTTTCCCAGTAGCATGCTGTTTTTATCACAGTAGCTTTGTAGTATAGTTTCAAGTTGGGGATTGTGATACCCCCTACCTTGTCTTTATTGTCTAGAATTGCTTTTGCTATTCTAGATCTCTTGTTCCAAATGAATTTTTGGATTGTTTTCTCAAGGCCCATTTCATTTCTCATGAAATGTGCTGCTGGAATTTAAATTGGAATTGTGTTGAATCAAATAGTAGTTTTGCAAGTATGGCCATTTTCACTATTTTTGTTTTTCCTACCCAGGAGCAAGGGATGTCCTTCCATTTTCTGATATCTGTTTATGTTTTTGAAGCAAAACATTGGTACATTTTATACATACATAATGATAACATTCATCATAGGGAATTTGTACCTGTACATATCTTGCTTCTTTTTTTCCCCCATTCCCCCCTTTAACTCCTCTTCCGTTCCTAATATACACAAGCTTTGTGTCCATTTTTCTCTTCTAGTTTCTTTTTTCTTTCTGTTCCGTACTAAGTTTAAATGAATGTGTATGTGTGCTTTATCGTATCACCGCGCAGATAAATAAGTATATTGTACAAGACTGTGAGTGATGTGTTTTCCTGGTGTAATGTATCTCTGCACCCCAGAGCCAACTGTAGGATTTTTCTTTATCTCTCACCATTGCTTTATCATGAAGTAAAGAGGTACTTGGTTTTGCCTCTTGGATTTAAAAGGAGCCAGCATTGCTGTTAATACACTATTAGCAAGATGCCTGCGGACAGTGTTTGTAGTTTCTTCTTTTATTTGTTTCCCTCCTTACAGGATTAAATTATTTGAAGATTATTTTTGATGTTTTTGACATCATTCTTTTTGTCTACAAATTCTAATACTTTGTAAATTTCTGCACAGTGTGAGTTGCTGATTTGTGTTAACTTGTAATTTGGTGTGCCCTCTCCTGTGTGTGCCTTCATTTATTGTGTAGTTTATCAACACTTAGGATGGTCTCAGTTACATATTTAGTCCATCCAGTGTCACACCGCATCTCTGTATAATATGTTTATACCCATGACCACTGATGATGAGCATTATTTCCAGAGGAGCCTTTCTCGTTTTCTGTGGAATTCTTTCTGTTTTGGGGGGATTTTTTGTTTGTTTGTTTGGTTGGTTGGTTTGTTTTGTGTGTTTGTTTCTCCTGGTGACATGTGACTGGTATGTTTTTAATAGCAAATCCACATCTTCATTGCCATGTAGCACAATGATGTACTTTTGTACGTTCACTTCATGTTGAACTTACTTGGTACCAAATGTTTTTGTTGGTTCTTTGGGACTTTCTACGCAAAATGTCATCCATTGCCAGACAGTTTTATTTCTTGCTTGTCATATTTTACATCTTTCTTGTTTTCTGGTCATTCTGCGTCTGTTGTTAATCATCTTAGGAATTTTGTTCTTTAGCTTGTGGAAGTGATGGATTCCATTCATTTCTTTTTCAGTTTCAGCAATTCTCAGTCCTAATTACAGTTCCTGTTATATGTTGTTAAGTAAGAGTTGATATTATTTGTGAAGGATTTGCGTCTGTGTTCAGAAGAGAACTCGATGTATCATATTATATCCTGTAAGATTTCTATTCAGTTTTGGTGTCATTGCAGGTTTGCTTCATCCCGTAAAACTTTGTTACTTCTGCTTCTCTTTCCTGGAAGACATTGCAGAGAATTGGTATGACTTCTTCCATATTAGACAGAGTAAATCGTTGTTGTGCCTGCCCTTTTTGTTTTGGATAGTTATTTCTTTTGTTTTATTGTCTTTCGTATATACAGTTCAATTTGTATTGTCTCGGCTGATGTTTTAGTATATTGTTTCTTTCCATAAATTGGTTCACATAGTTCATCCAGGTTGTTAAATTTATGGGCGTGGAATTCTTTTTTTTTTTTTTCTTTTGTTACCGGGGATCAAACTTGGGTCCTTGTGCTTGCAAGGCAGGCGGTGGAACCACTGAGCTACATCCCCGGCCCGTCTTTTTTTTTTTTAAGTAGGAAGAATTTATTGAAAGGTAGCTTCTGTCTAAGTGAGACAGAAGGGGGGTGGCAAAGTGGGCTGCCTCTGGGCATGGAATTCTTCATAACGTTCCTTTACTGTCCTTTTAATGTCCATGACAGTAGCGTCTACAGTCTATCTGTAATTACTGATATTAGTAATTTGTATGTTCTCTGCTCTTTTAGTTATTTTGACTGAGTAATCAATTTTCTCAGTCTTTTAAAATAATCAGGTTTTAGTTTTGTTGATGTCTTTATGACTTTATTAATGTTTTTACTAGCCATTGTATCCTTCTCCTTGATTTGGAATTATCTTACTCTTCTTGGGTTTTCAAAAGTAGAGAAATTAGTTCATGGCGTTTAGGTTATTCTCGTCTCACACTGATTCGTTAGATTAGTGTTCACCCAGGTATTGCCTTTCCTTCATTTCACAGATTTGGTTAAGATAAGATGTGTTTGTTTGTGTGTGTTTTTAAATATTTAATTTCTTATGAGGCTTCTCTTTGACACGTTATGTAGATGTTTGTGGGTTAATCTCCAGTTAGAGATTTCGTGTATTCCATTTAAATTCCAAAATAGCAGGAGAGGACTTTATATGTTGCTTTCCTTTACATTTGTTAAAATGTGTTTTGTAGCTTAGAACATAGTCTGTGTGGGTTAATGTTCCATATGATGTAAAAATGAATTTATGTTTTATTTTGGGTGGAGTATTGATAACATCAATAATTTTCCTTTTCCTTCTACATGTTTTTGCCTCATGCAGTTTTGATGCTCTGTGGGAATATACATTACAAATTGAGAAATGACTGCTTTATAATTACTTGATCCCTGTATTCCTTCCTTGTAAATGTCCTTGAGGTACTATTTGATTGGTCTGAAGTTAATATAAGCACTCCAGGTTCCTTTCAGATAGTGCTAGAAGTGTATCTCTCTGCATAACTTTATATTTAATCTTTTGTCTTTATCTTATTTTAAAAATGTTTATATACTTAAATGTTAAAATGTTTAACAAAATCAAATGCATTAATAACTTATGATGCTTTGTAGTATGCATATATTTTGAAGTGACTGAACTGACCTAATATAAAAATTTCATTGCTTTATGTATCTTATCAGTTTTTCGGATGTATTACTGAAAATGTCATCTTCTGGTGTTTTCCAGTGTAGTTTTCTTGCTGTTTCTCCATTCTCGTTTTAATTAATCATCTTATACTGTCAGGCTTCTGTTCTCCATTAGAACATCAAATATACTTGTTTCCTAAAAGTTTTAAGCCATTGCATACTGTTGGTGATATCTATTCACAACGAATCAAAATCCAGTTTTAAATCATAGTGCACTCTTTCAAGGGCAGTGCAGGTAACCCTGGTATGTTCCCAGCTCCTCCTTTCCATCCCACCTAGAATTGCTGTCATTCCTAGTCCCTATTGAAAACTATGACCACCCAGTATACCGTTGAGTTCACCATAGACATTTGTCTGTTAATACAAATGAGAAGAAATAAGCGATTTTTGTTGTACTTCCATAGAATTATTTTCTGGCACCATGTTTTTGTTTTTGTTTTTGGTACTGGGAATTTTACTCAGGTCCTTGTGCTTGCGGGGCAGGCGATGGAACCACTGAGCTAAATCCCCAGTCCCATCTGGCGCCATGTTTTTTCTTACAGCAGAATTCTTCAATCTTTTCTCTCTGAGGAACACCTTTCAACAGTTCTTGTAACGTTGTTGTGTCTAAATCCTGGTTGTGCTAGCACAATGGGCTGTAGGTTGCTGAGAGACTGAAGAAGGTAAAGATGACTTGTGGAAGTAAGGTTTACGATGTACTTACAGAGGAAGGGGTTAATTAGTACTCGCTAATAAGGAAGGCTTCTGAATGAGTGCATTCAGGAGCAGTGGTGTTACTTGGGATACGCAGGAGGACCCTACAGCACCCCTTGGCAAAGTCCCATGGCGGGCGTGGCCTCAACACCGTGCTCCTCAGGTCCCATGAGTGGCATGTACACAGCCGTGACACTGCACGGGAAATCCACAGGGAACACACTATAGAACAGCCTCCCTCAGTAAAACCGCAAGGGCTGCATACTTACTAGTAGCAGTCTTCACAGGGAAAGGATTTTCTAGATGAGGCTACCCAGGTAGTGACATCATTAACTTGCTTTAGTTCCGTTGTCTGATCGGCATTTCAAGGAACAGCTAACTTAGTATATGAGCAGGAAGGTGGTTTCCATAGATAATGCTCGTTACCACTTCCCAGTGTCCTTGGGATCACAGTCATCTAGGCAGTTTGTTCTCTTAACTTGGCCAGAGTCTTGGGGTACAAATGCTGTGTTTCAGGAGTTTGATGCCAAATGTCTTTTTCTCAGGGAAAATACATGCATTCCCCATGTACCTGAATTCCTTTTCCGTCTCATCCTGCCCGTCCTTTGCAATATCCTCTTGGTATCTCCAAGATATACTTTGCAACCAAATCCCACACTAGCAGTGTGAAAAGCAGTAGATTGTGACAAGCCCTGCTAGGGGAGCAGGCAAATTGCAGTAAACATTTCTTCAGGTAGCAGGAAGAGATTGTAACCAAGTAGAAGTAAGATTGTTTATCTGTAGCTATAACATGGTTTTGGAATTTATGGACTTAAAGATGTATTATTGATAGAGCAACGTTATACAGTAAGAGAGGCCTTTGGCTTGCCTCCATTTTTTTTTCCTTCCACAAAATGTTCTAGAAATGTAAGTTTGTGTGGCTGGGCAGCATACCTGCCCATTGTATCAAAATGTTTAGTGACTGTGTGACCACAGGGATGTTCGTTAGCTCTGCGCCTTTCACGAATGTTCTGTAACTGCCCCCCTGCGTCAGTGAGCGTGCTTGCCTACCCAGTAGACCCCTATATAAGGAGGCTTCCATTTCTAGTCAAGCACTCAGACTTCAGAGTACGGGCTCTCTGAGCCTGCCAGAATAATAAAGGATTTTCTCTGCCTCTTCGAGTGACCATGGGATTCTTGAGTCTTCAAATTGTGATAGCCAAGACCCAGAGCTGTGACACTGAGCTGTAGCACTCAGTTGTGCCTCAGAGCTGTAGCACTTGGCTGTGACACTTGGCTATGGCACTGAGCCTGAGCTGTTCTTTTCCACAGCATTATGAGAATTACTGGAAACACAAAGTTTTACTTTATGAGAGTACAGGTGCCCCCGAGTGCATTAGCAAACTAATTGAGACTGTAAAACACTGGGCGGGCATCCCCAGAAAGATATAGTTATGCCCTTCTTTTCCCAAGTCTATAGAGTGGTTGTCTCGTATTCATGAAACTGTTCCTATTTGTAAGTATCAGGCCCTGCATTTTTTAATGGCGGTTCTGTTCATTCAAATTCAGAGTGTCTCAGGACAATCTTGGGCTTTGACTAGACCTTTGTAATAGTTATCATAGGCACTCGGTGTGTGAACACTTTCTTTACAAGACTTTGGTTTTTGTAAGGCTGACGTAAGTGACTCCATTTTGATTTTGACAACTCCAAAGCTTTTCTTTATATTTCTCCCTTGTTTTTGTGCTTGTCTTTCTGAAGACACTGCTGATCCATCATCCTGTGGTCACATTGTTAACATCCCCATTGGTGTGATAACATTTTGGTTGCTGGTCTGATTTCATTCCACGGAAAAGCTCTGTGAGAGGAAATGAGTGTGAACAGAAAGAATGTAACCACCAACTTGTGCAGTAAATGTTGGGTTTGCACAGCATCGTGTGAACTCATAAATTAGTACGGATCACTTCTGCTGTCTGTCTCATCCTTCTTTCTGAAAACATGTTTGGGATGTTTTAGGAGGCAGTGACCTTTGAGGATGTGGCTGTGAACTTCACTCAGGAGGAGTGGGCGCTGCTGAACCCTTCCCAGAAGCATCTCTACAGAGCTGTGATGCAGGAGACCTTCTGGAACCTGGCTTCTGTGGGTAAGAGAGACCTCCCTCTTCACTTAGTTAGGTAGCAAACATTTCTTGCTCACTAGTGCTGTTCAGAGTTTTGGAATGTGAAAAAACACACTTTGATGAAAAAATTTAGCATGGTCACAATGGAGCGTTTTTATATAATATAATAATTTATCACACTTTTCTGGTGTCTGCATTTTAGGTCAAAAATGGCCATACCAGACCATTGAAGATGTGTACAAAAATCTCAACAGAAATCTGAGGTAATTTTCACTCCCAGTATTGTTCCTCACAAAATTTGAAATGACAGGGAATATTTGTATTTTTTTGTTTTTTGTTTTTTTTGGTACCAGGGATTGAACTCGGGTCCTTGCCCTTG